CACAGAAGTCTCATTGGCTATCTCCAGATTGACAGCCTAGTCTCCACCCCTACACTCTTAATCCTTAAATTGACACCGGATTAGGCGACTGCCACAATGCCCTAGAAAGGATACACAGGTCTGGGGATAAAGGGGAGAAGTGGGGTGGGTCTTCTCATTCTTAGGGTCTCATAATCCTTACAATCAGGGGCTCCCTAGGTTTGGCAGTCCTAATGGCCCCAGGAGAAACGTTTCTATCAGAGCACGGAGTTACGGTTCTAGTGATTAGAAGCTGAGCCTGCCTCCTAGTCTTCTGGGCTCTTTATCCAACAAGCCGAAAATGAGATCACGGTACTAGGTCCAGTGATCAACATACTTGAGGGGACTTGCGGTGCTGTGACGCAAGGAAAGTAAGAAGGGCAAGGTTTGGGACCTGGGAATTCACTGGGGTGACTTGCGTACTCCCTTGCCTGCATGTACTGGTCAGTGAAAATCTGCGAGCCACCAAGGACTGACATTTGTGTGAATGGACACTTGGGTCAGCCCACCAGGTGAAGAACCTCGCTTCAGCTGAGCTGCTGGCTAAGAGGAAGAAGCCCATGGAATAGTAAGCCCATGATATCTGAGTTCAAGCACAGAGTCTACCACTTATCAGCTATGCAAAATTGTCATATTTTCAGAAACACTCACACCCCAGTTTTCCCCGGTGCTGAGTGGCATGCCGGAATATGGTGCCAAAACAAGGACTGTCCTAGGCAAGCCAGATGAACCAATCACCCTTTTTCTGATCTTGTTTGCTCACCGAGATGATGTACAGTAGTTAGATTTTATGTCAACTCTGAAAGTGTAGGAGTGGCGCCCAACCTATCGGTCAGGTCACAGCCTAATGATGCCTCCTTGGCGGGTTGGCGAGGGGGGGTAGGCCTCCTTGTCTACAAGAGAGACAGTGGGACTTCTCTTTCTCTCTTCCCGTTCACCTTCATCCTTGATAGGACTCCAGAGCTGCCTCCATGGGCAGCCCCACGTGGGCTACTGGCCCTGGTAGCCAACCTCTGAGCTGTCTGCACCATGACATGTTTCCACCTTGGGTCCACGCAACCCTGCACAACCTCCCCTTTCCCCCACTAGCCTGGGGTCTCCTTGCCTCTTCTTCACCTTTCTGCATCATCGGCCTGCAGCCATGTAACTCTGAAGAGGGCCCTGGCTCGCATCAGGCCCATGGATTTGAGTTGGACTGGGCTACAATGTCTTCTTGCTATAAAGTTTCTTCTTATACGCATGCAAATGGTTTTGTTTCTCTAGACAACCCGGTCTAACACACCATGAAAGCATAAGATGCCTGTCTTATGTTGCCTCCAGGGTAACACAGACAGAGAGAATGAACAGTGATTTGGGACTATGGTACACCTAGGTCTTAGGTCTAGCCCAGCCACTTACTTGTGGAGAGATCTTGAGATGTTGCTTAACTTCAGCCATCTTATTAAAAGACACACAAGTTGTTTCTGCCCACCATCATCTGCCTTACTTTTTACAACAGAAGACCCACTCTAGCCTGCTGTCCAACACATGGAAAGAAGGGTGTCAAGACAGATGTGTTGGTGTGAAGTCATCTATCTATTCCCCTCCCTTAGTGCAACAAGGCTTTCCATAACATTCCAAAGTGGGACAGCATGAGTGTAACTCGTCTAAGGGTTTTCCCAAAAGAGTGTGTGTGTGTGTGTGTGTGTGTGTGTGTGTGTGTGAAAGAAGGACATGTGCTAGGTGTTCAATACTGTGGTCATTACCTTCAAAAGTAGTCCACTTAACATTCTAACATCTGTGGTTTGAAGTTGAGAAACAGGTTTGAGGAGGTAGAATCCCTTATTTAAAATCGACACGACAGGTAGAACTGGTAGAACTGAGACTCAAACCCCATCGAATGCCAGATACAAAGACTGATATGTGAAAGGTCAACATGCAATGGCTCAAGACTTTACCCAACAGCGGGTGTCAAACATATAGATATCTATGGGGGCCAGGCAGGTCACATGAACAAGATGGGTTACCAAGAAGGGACTCTGGTGAACAGCCTATATCCTAGCAACAATGCATGGGGTGGCCATTTATCAGATCCATGGGTGGTTGTCATGTGGAAATGCCCGCCCTGGGCATCCCCAATCCCGATTATAACACAAACTATTTCAGTTTTGAAATGGTGACAACACTTTTATTTTTAAAGAACTGCCTGGATTTGATACATCTGTTGGCTCCCAAGTTTGAACCTGTGACCGAGAGAAAAAAAACCTGATTGAGTAAGGGCCCACCAAGGGTCACTGCTACTAACTAAAGAAAGAATAGCTATTGTGCATGAGAAACTGTCTACTTGTGGGACCCGTACTCGAACAAAGATGGATGTAAGAGCAACAGGTGTGCCAGCAGCTCCTACTGTGTTTCCACTGGGAGTGCGGATGGCAGAAAGGACCCAGGGGAGAAACCAGAACCTGGGCGTTTTCCGGCACCAGCATCTGTTACTTTGCATCTCCTCTGTTTTCAAGAAAGAATGGCAAATCCCTCTTCAAGTTATGAGTAAAGGCTAAACACCTTTCTTATGTAGACGGATTCTCCTGCTCCCCCCAAATCCCACAAAATGCCAAATGGTGTCCTTACCCGGGAGGTGTTCCAGGAGTCTCTTTGTGAGATCCTCTCCAAGGTGACTCTCACACCACCTCTCCCTGGGGCCAGGTAACGCCCATTGTTAATGGTCGGTAATCAAGTCCTCAACTCAAATCACTTGATCACAGGTCGACTTCTTTTTTGGAAATTTCCACCAGCCTGCCCGGCTCTTCTCGGGCACATCAGTCCATTAAGAGCCCCTGGAGACGGATTCTTGCTCCACGTGGAGGGAGGCAAAGGATCAGAGAAGGGGGGTGAAGGAGGAGGAGAGACCAGCTGGTTTCTCCCACTTGCCCTCCCTGAGCCCTGGCTGATGACAGACACTCCCCAGAGCTCTCACTGGAGAGATGAGCTCAGCTTTCTGTAATGGTTGCCAAGGGAGGCTATGGTCTTCTAGGGAGACTTTGACGTTGGAATCAGAAGACCTCTAATTTTCTTTCTTTCTTCTTCTTTTAAAAAAATCATTTTATTGGGGTTCATATAACTCTTATCCCAATC